ATCAGATGTGTGTCTCTTAATTCAAGAATAACTAGAAGATGATCATCTGCTGTGTTTTTAAAGCATATGGACATAAGTGGTATAATCTTAATTTTATCAATGCGAGCGTTATTTCTAAATTAAGGAACATGAACAATAATGAGAGTAGACTATTTATAAAAGCTTAGGGTTTCTGATGTTATGTCTGTCATTTATTAGGGGGAATATAGAAAACTAATAAAAAAATAAATAAAGAAATAATTATTCCGATAAATATATTGATAATTTTTGTCCAAGTTTGCTACTTTGTATCTCTAATTCAGTAATAAGTAAATATTAATCAAAAATAATTTATTAGATAGCTTCCAGGGAAAAAATTAGAAGACTAAAAAACCGAAACAAACTCATAAAAGAAGACAAAGACAGTAGTCAAAAGAAAAAAACTTATACTGTTGGAATAACTTTCTTCATTAGCATTAAATAAAATTGATCTCCATTTTTGTCATTAAATGATCGGTGTCACCGTATTCCCCAACCTGAGAGAGTATCGATAATGGACATGTACCAGTAACCCAAAACTTTTTGCAGTAGGAGGTTGTTTTACGTTTGTTTATAGACAAGACGTTTCAGATGAAGAATGTGTTCTACTTTGATGCGAATCTTTTAAAGAGACAGTTATTGAGAATAAATTAAACGGCGACATTTTACCACTTGTCATGGAGCGATTAAAAAAATATATCAAGTGGACTGCCAAACCTGAAGACTGCTATTGTTTATGAAAATAACATTTTGCATGCCCCAAAACTACCAAGACCAATGAATGTCCAAGAATTTTTCTGTTGGATATTGATTCTAGGCTACTAAGAACTGCGTCAAGAATCACAATTTTCAAGACCAATGAATGTCCAAGAATTTTTCTGTTGGATATTGATTCTAGGCTACTAAGAACTGCGTCAAGAATCACAATTTTCAAAAGGTGACCAAATGTTGAAAATATTATTATTTTTAGCTGTCTATATCTTATGTAATACCCTTAGTATTAAATAAAACCTTTTAAGCTAAAACTAGTTTTTATCCACTTTTTGCCACTTCGTCAAACTGGGCGAAATTATGACAACTATTTAAAAAATTACAACAACTATACGACTTGAACAAGTACGGGTTTCCCCATGACTATTAAGCAGTATCAACAAGATATAAAACATGGTAAAAGTATCAAAAACTTACCCTGATACCGATATCCCTTCGGCTCTGAATCTGTTGGCATGCAGAATAGTAATGAGATAAAAACGGCTCGAAAAAAAAATCTGAGCTAAATACAATAGACATTAAGAAACTCACTAATCTATAAACCAAAGTATAAGAACGAGAATATATTAAAAAGGAAATAAAGGACATGAACGAAAACACGTCAGATATAATAGGGAGATGATACAGGCCAAGGAAAGATTATACAAATAACAATAATAAAAGAGGAAAATATTAAATGATCCACAAAATCAAAAGAACAATAATTCCAGAAGCCAAAGAAATTATATTCCAACGAAGGCAGGGTATTACGAAAGTAAATACGATAGTTAAAATATGCAAAAAAATAAAATCAATGCCAAGCAAGAACAAATTCAATAAATCTCTAAGCAAATTAAAAGGTAGCGGTGGAAATCTTATTTTAGAGCCATCAAGGATCATCAAAACATAGAAATCCTACATAAAAAAATTTTGAATCAGACAGGACTCAAAAGTTTAGATATATGGAGAAGTAAAAATAAAACCTTCTATACTTAAATCATAGATAGAAGATCAGATAACGCAGCAGGTCCTGACAAGATACACTGTAAAATACTAACTATCTTACGTAAATCAGGCAAACAATTCCATGATAATTTACTTGCACTTTTTAGCACCATATATAGCATAATAGCGGAAAATCTCGTAGGACTGGCTGCAGTCGGCATTTGCTACAATACCAAAGAAAGAAAATATCCAACTCGGTGATAAACTTGAAATTATAATAGACAAGAAGTTTTCGCTCTCATTGTGCCTATACAGCGATGTACAGATGTTAATAAGGATGTGCATTTGCGCTTTGAGGATTTCAGAATAGCATTTGACAATGTCAATTATGAAAAACTAATAGATATTCTACGAAAGACAGGTATTGATGACGACGAAGGATATGCAAATTGTAGCAAAAATGAGACAATCACAATTATACTGGGGTCAAACAGCAAGACTAAAAACAGGCAATGAATTTAGTGAAAGTGTGGAGATCCAAAAGGGTGTCTGACAGGTGTTTATCTTATCTACACTCGAGTTAAAGAACAACATAAGATAAGGCGATGAAACGGTGATCCTGGCCAGCAGCATAGATGAGTTACAATAGGCAATTTAAAGGGTTAATGCAGCCAGAGGGATCTACGGACTGACCTCAACTTAAAGACAATAACCTGCTCGACAATTACGTTTAAACGACATACTAATTGACCATGTAGAATCTTACATATAAATTTGCACCAATATAAATGTAATGTAATGACTAGTATAGTGGTAAATTTTCCAAACTTACTATACGATGCGAAGGCCTGGACGCTGACAGAGACGCGTATAAAAAAACATGAAAATTTGAAATATGGGTGTATTGACACATTCTTTGTATATCCGGGACCAAAAATGTCACTAATATAGAAAAAAAAGAAGAATTAGAAACGAAAAAAAAAAATTGTGAGCACAACTAAACAAAAAAAAAACTAAAATTATTATCCAGGGAACAATAGATACCAGGCAAGGACCAGGAAGAAAAAGATACTCGTGGCTCCAAAATCTGTGGAAATTATTCGGGCTTTCTTCGGTCTAACTATTCAGAAGTGTCGCAAGCAAGATCAGAACTGCTATGTTTATAGCTAACATTCGCAGCTAACAGGACAGCTGAAGAAGAAGAAAAAGAGCTTCCCATTTGAGACATGGAGAAGGAGCTGTTATGCTTGGACATGTCTAATTATGTGGGTTAAGCACGACCAAGTGGAAGTTAGGGTCGGCTCAAGTTCGGATATCAGATGTGACCAACTGTTTTCTAGTTTTCCGTAGATAAATCTTGAACCAGAAACAAACAAAGAAACACGTAATGTCATCCGGAAAGTATTGAACAGGATTTTGTTCTTTGTAAGAAGTTTCAGACTGCCACAATCCCCAGACAATGGCTGCAATCAACCTTTGTAGCAATTCCCAAAAAACCAAGTTCAATAACTTGCTCAGACCACAGAACAATAGCTTTAATGAGTCACACACTTAAAACATTTTTGAAAATAATTCACAGCAGAATTGTTAAAACTCTTGAATATGGGATTAGTGACACACAATTTGGCTTTAGAAATGGTATGAGTACAAGAGATGCTTTGTTCGGCTTGAATGTGCTGGCTCAGAGATGCATGGACATGAATCAGGATATGTACTTATGTTTTGTAGACTTTGAAAAGGCATTTGATAAAGTTCAATATAAAAAGCTTGTAGATATATTAAAAAGCAAAAATATTGACAGTCGTGATCTGAAAATTATATCTAATTTATATTGGAATCAAACTGCCAAGGTAAGAGTTGACAGCCAGTACACCGAAAATATCAAAATACAGAGAGGAGTCCGCCAGGGTTGCGTGCTGTCCCCACTACTTTTCAATGTCTACAGTGAAGCGGTATTTCAAGAAGCGCTCTCAGACTCAATAGAAGGTATATCTATCAATGGAGAAGTTTTGAATAACTTACGTTTTGCAGACGATACAGTAATAATTACGGATAACAACAATGATTTACAGAACCTAATGCAACGCCTTAATGAACGCTGTCATGAGTATGGACTGAAGATAAATTTAAAGAAAACTAAATGCATGATCATGACTAAATCTGCACATGCAAATATCCAATTGACTATTGAAGATACTGCAATTGAGAAGGTTAATAACTATAAATATTTAGGAACATGGACAACATCAGATGTAGACAAAACCAAAGAAATTAAGACACGTATTGAAATAGCACGTACATCATTTATTAAACTTAAAAAGTTTCTTTGTTGTCGGGATATAAGGTTAGAACTACGCTTGAGAATGCTTCGATGTTACGTGTTCTCTACTCTTCTTTATGGTCTGGAAGCTTGGACACTCAAACAAATTTATCTGAATAAGCTGGCCGCCTTTGAATTTTGGTGTTACAGAAGAATCCTACGAATATCATGGATTCGAAGAATGTCAAAATCCGAGGAAAGCGAAATGTGGGAAGACGAAGAATATCCTGGCTTAAGAACTTAAGGGAATGGTTTGAATGCAGTAGTGCAGAACTTTTTAGAGCGGCAGTCAACAGATTCCGCATAGCCATGATGATTTCCAACCTTCGATAGAAGATGGAACTTAAAGAAGAATAAGAAGAAGTTTCAGTATACGAGCATGAACAGCTCAGCGGGGAAAAGTTAAGTATCTGTTCAAGCAAGGCTTAAGTGGAAAGAAGCTTATCGTAGGTGCAAAAACTTATCCGAGAACGTTAAATATGTACCTAGAATAAACGGAAAAGATCTTTCTAGTAGCAAGTTCAAAATATAAATTTTACGCGGAATATATTAATTGAAATCTATATGAATCTATATATGAATACTTATATGATCGAAAGTGAGATCTCTCCGAAGCTAATTATTGTTTACTTAAGTTTTATTAAAGAAGAAATTTTATTATTTTAAATTTATTCTACATTCATAGTTTCCCTAAAATATTACTATTTGATAAAATTATAAATTGATGTTAGTACGTAGAAAGTTCTATTAAAAAAATATAAATTTAACTCTTGCTTTATCTTGCTTGCTTTTTATGTTAATAAAATATTATTATTAACAATTTTTGACATTTTTAATTCTTTTATGTAGATAATTCGAAATAGACTAGTACTTTTACTATTTATTTGTTCATAATAATAAAAACAAAAACACGCGTATATTTCCTTTGTTTGGTTTATAAGCAATCAAAACATCATGTTCTACTTACTCCTTTTGCTAAATATATTCCCTTGCGTCGCACGAAAACTAATATTTTGAAACTCCAAGTCCACCGTATTTTGGCACATTTTCCCATTAGTACCATCGCCACTAATAAAAGTCTTTTCGGGGTTCACTTTTACGGAATAATTCACTGAATCCCCGTTGACACCGTTCGATTTGACAACGGCGGCATCTTTAGATTGCCCAACAAAAGTACTCTCGTGCAGAACTGCCTCCATGGTGCGGATTGAAATTCGCGGACTGTCAGCGACTGAACCAGTAAGTACTCTCGAAGATTGTGATTGCCTATCTATTCGTATTTGTGTATGCACTGAGTATTGTTTATCAGCGCTCGGACATTTTATACAACAATTAAAGTTTGGACCGCGTTTAAAGTTCATTGCGATGATTTAATAGATATCCGAAATTTATTTTTTTTATTGAGGTGTTAATCTATTATTTTGTATCACTTTATTGTATGAAATTAGTCATCATGATAAGACCTTAACGTAGTTTATTTCAAACAAGTAGTTTTTTTTTATTTTACTCAATATACCAAGCATTTTTATTATTAGTATAGAAAGTGACGCAAGTATTAAACATTGACTACCTGAATTCTTTTTTTCTTCGAATTCTTTCTTTTTCTAATGATAGTTCAGGTTTTTTTATTAAGAAGATTTATGCAGTCAAAAATTAGTTGTTTTATACAAGCACTAGGTATACTTTATAAAAATCACATCGACAAAGCCCAAATTCGTAATTATTATGGATATACTATTGAAATATAAGGGAAACCGGGGAATTCTGCGCACCTGAGGTAAAATACTTTTGCACAAACAAAAGTTTCCTATGTGCAAACAAACTTCCATAATTTAACTACTGAAACTTGTATGTATTGAAAACGTTATTCCCCTAAAAAATATGATTAAAATTTAACGGATTTTGAAGAAAAAGATTTACTTTAAAAACTGTCATTGCGCGGTGTCATTGCGCGGTATTCCCACAAATACGGGTTAATTCTGCTCAAAATTAAATAAATCTTTATTCGAAAAAAAAAAATTTATTGTAATAAAGCAAATATTGTAAACAAAACAGATTTCTTAAAGATAAAATTAAAAAAAAAACATTAAAGAGATAATTTTACTTTCTGACTGTCTTTCGTTCAACCTTAAACGTCGACCTCGTCACTTCATTCTGAACGAGCCCAATTCGAACACATTACACAACGGTACCAAATTTATTGTCTCGTCCGAATTCACCGCACACCAAATACTCTAACATTTTTTAATGTTAGATCTACATCATTTAATTCATCATCATCACAAAGCTTACTCTCATCATAACTTTCAGACTCAGAATCATCAAAATTTCTAACTCCAGCTTTCTTACGTACAGGTCGTTTCTTTGCTTTAGTAGCTAGTTTTCCTACGGTTCCTTTTTTTCTTGGTTTCATTTTTTTTACCTCTGTAGCTTCTTTCTTAATATTTTTCTTGTCTTGTTTTATTTTAATCGCGTTTTTAGTGCCGTGGAAGTGAAAATTTCTGAGTGTTGTTTTGCACGTCATTTGGAACTTTTCTTTATAAATTTGAAAGGAAGAGGAGCTAGCTTTTCAATGGGTATACTAGACTGAGTTTTAATATTTCCTGACGTTCCAGGCTGGGGTGCAGCTTGCTGGTTTGAGTTCAATTTGGCATTATAAGATGGAGTATTGTGCATAGTTTTATCACATCTCGATAGTCCCGGTTGGGGTTCGGTATTTCTAAGTGGAGTTCTCTGCATAGTTGCATCACATCTCAATGGTCCCGGTATTTCTCGGTGGAGTTCTCTGCAGAGTTTCGTCACATCTCGACTGATCAAGGGCCTTGTCATCATTGGTAACGTCGGTTTCTAAGTCCATTACAACGTGCATATCTGAAACTTCAGTGTGATATACTAAGTGGAAATTATCTTCAGGTCATGTCTTTTCCTTTTTATCTTCAGAGAATTTATTAGTATCTATGGATCATATTCCAGCAGCACGGAACTCGAATATTCCATTGTCCATCGTGGCAACTCTCAGGTTAAAAATAAAAGCATGTTCAAAATGTGTGATCTTTTCATGAGTATGAGTTTTTAGATACAAGTCGTACTCACGATTGAAAGCATTCTTTAGGGGCCCAAAAAAAAAGTGGGTCAAGAGGTTGAAGCCTGTGTGAGATATGAACAGGAAGTGAAACCATAACAATTCCGTGTGATCTGCAGTAAGTATAAATCTCCAAAGAAATGTGACTCCCATGGTTATCCAATATGAGATGCATTAATTGTGGATTTATACCTATTCGAGGGAATGTGAACATAGGATAGACAAACTGTCTATTTCCGCTACTTGTACTTTTCCTCTTCAAGATATTACGGATCCTACTTGCTTTTGACCTTTTGGTGCCAAATTTTTTGATGGTTTGTCGACCGTAGAAATGCCCGTTTTACCTACATCAAAAATTCGACCCTCAGGAAATTTGAACTTTTCCATAACTGTGAGCAGATTGTTAAAAAATCGTTGAACCTCATCTTTATTGAATGCAGAAATGCGGTTTTGAGTGGTACCTAACGTTTCAGGTTGTCTAACACTAATGTCTGGATGACGCTATAAAAATAGTTCTAACCAATCTTCACCAGCGATCTTCTTTATCGAGTCGAAACGGTGTTTTATTTTATTCTCTTTAGCAATCTGGTATGCTAAACGCCTTTGTTCGGATGGAGTGACACCAAGAAACATATTTGCCAACTTTTTAACATGGTTGGCTATGGTGGATTCCTGTTCATCATTAAAAATTGGTTTCCTGCCAAGTTTTATTTTTTTATGGCTATTGGACTTTAGTTTGTCACGTAGAGTGGATTCTGGAATAATAAATGATCGACCTACTTCTCGTATTTTTCGCCCAGATCGTATAGCAGTGATCGCAGATTTAGGTTAATCTTCTGTCCATTTTGATCTTTCAGTTTTCCGAACGTAAGCACGGGGCATTTTGTAATCAAAAATGCAATAAAAACACTATATCCGCAAAAATTCTTACACTGGGTAATACTGCGCAGCACGAAATTACCCCGACACAGCTGCGCGGTATTTCCCCGGCGCACTGTGTTGAATGTTGCAATACTTACGCCGTGTTGCCAAGATACTGATGCGTGATATTCCCCCGTGCGCGGTATTCCCCCGGCTTGCCCTATAAAAAGACAACTTAAGTCAATAAGTTATACTGTATGTTGACGAGAAGGTGATTATAGCGGATAACTGGAGAAAGATGCAACGAGTATTTGGGGTATAGACAGAACAAATAAAAAACTGAAGCTAAAGATAGATATTAATAAATGAATGGGCATAAAACTAGAATATTAGGAGCATAAGATTGGAGATAAAACCTGAGTGCTCTGAATGGACAATAATTACAGATGGTGACAGAGTGCAAGGCTCCTTCTTCTAAAAGTGTCTATCTTCTAGTGATGTTGGCGACCACATTAACTCACCTTATTCTATTCACAGTAGCTCAAAATGATCACCTGGCGTTAGACAAGTCCATTTCCTGAGATTGGCCAGACAGAATACACGTGTACGTCCAGAACGTCTCTTGTCCTCACTCTTGCCTTGCGTTGTAAAAATTAACTGTAAAAGTCTTTAAGTAGGTGCTTATTACGCATAATATGGCCGAAGTAAGCCAAATTGTTTTTCTTCGCGGTGTTAATGTGTTCCTTGTGTTTTTAGCAACCAGAAAAAAGTTTTATTTTTCAATATATACGTCAATAGCACCACATTTCAAATCCCTTTCACCGTTTTACGACTAAATACCTAATATCTAAGAATTCTTACGCGTATATTGATACGTGTAGAACTCGTTAGAGCGACTGAGTAAGAAGGGCTTCTTACTTATCGCTCTGATGGACCTACAAAGACAAGATACGTATAAGCGAATTGTAGAAGCACTACAAGTGAAGTCAAATTTTAACGGTCTTTTCGATAAATTCATTTACTTCTATTTTCAGTGTTAGAAATCAGGTCATGTAAGGTGTTTACTTAAATAAATCGGTATGATGTGGAATGAAATTTTAGAACTCCCAGGTCAGTCCATTCATCGTCTGCTTGCTTTGTAAAATGTAAAAGGCACAAATTTAGGTAAGAATCTGAATTTGGTTTCGAACAAATAGAAATCTTCGAATTTTTACCTTTTGTTTTTTTTCCTAATTTAATATTGTTTCTATTAATAAATAATTTTTGGTTAGACTGAATATAATAAAATGTGTAATTTTGTAGTAATATTATTTATTAAATTATATTAATGATAACTTGTTTTTACTTTTTATTTTTATATATTTTATATAGGACTTTTGGTGTCGTAGAAAGTAAACAAAGCAGTTGTAGCTTTTCAACCAAAATCAGACAGACTTTGTTACTTGGGAGTAAGACGAAAATATAGAAAGATATGTATCATTAATGTACATGCGCCCACTGAAGATTTAGAAACCAAAACTGAGTTCAACGAAAAGCTAAGCACCTTAAGAGGAAATATACAGAAATACGATAAAAAAGATAATCATTGGTGACATAAATGCGAAAGTCGGAAAAGGGGAAATATATAGAAAAATAACGGGGAGACGAAGTTTACACAAGGAATCAAATGAAAACGGGAAAAGTTAATAGAATTTGCTACAGAGAACAAAATGATGATAGCTAGTACAATCTTTGATCACAAAGATATTCATAAGGTAACATGAACGTCTCCAATGGAAAGATGAAAAATCAGATAGATCACGTCCTAATTGAAAGCAAAGATGATAAGGCAAAAATCAATTACAGATGTTACAGAGGAACAGATATTAACAGTGACCATACACTACTAATAGTAAAACTAAAACAAGAACTATCAATAATTCCAAAACCTGTTAGAAATAAATTAAATTACTAATTAGAACGCCTTCAAGAGAAGCAGGTTGTAAACAGACTAGACGAAGAAATAAATAAAAATCTAGAGAATCTCGTCAAACAGGATATAGAAGAAGAGTGGCAAACTATAAAGTATAAGTATATATGAAGAGAGCAGATTAAAAGATGGCAAGACTGGTTTGATGAAGAATGTAGGAATGCTTTTACAAGAAGAAACAGGGAAAAACTAAAAAGAAAATGCCCAAAATGCGATCGAAAACTATGTGGCAAGAAGAAAAGGGAAGTAAAAGAATTTACAGAAAAAAGAAAAGAGAACAGCGCTAAAAGGAATTGAAAAACATAAAAGAAACCATCATAAATAAAGAGGTAAAGAAATTCTACCAAGAAGCTAGGAAATCCAGAAAAAATAC